TTTTAACTTTCCTAATGAACTATTACTCTAACATCAGAACAATCAAAGCAAGACAAAACAAACAAAATCAAACAGTCAATTGCTACAATTACAAACATACAATGAAGTATCCCCCACCCCACACTTAAAATGAAGACATGTCCCCATGGGTTAAAAATTTAAAGAACAGTGAGGTTAAGGAACTTCCCTGAAGGCTCACTCCTGATCGGAGACAGTGTCTGGGTTCACGTTGCACGCACGTCCCAGCACTCTCAACCAACCCAAGAATTTCTTCTCCGACTTCACTTGCCTCTCAGCCACCGCATCAACACGGGTACCCAAATTAATGACTGAGGTACGCAACCTAGCCATATCCTACTCCAAAATTGTCATACGGGTGCTCCAGCGTGGCTGTGATGGGCCTGCCAAATCAACTCTCGGAGGAGGAGGAATCGCAGCTACCTCAGCCTCATCATCATCATCAGCTGAATCATCATCAGAGTCATCAACATTCACCACCGCCTCTCGTCCAATTCTAATTTTTCTTGCCCGGAACGGGGCTTTTAGTGGCAATCTCCCATCAACCCGAGGGTCTTCAGGGACTCGAGCATTACGGCACAGCCGGGTGATCAGTGAAGGGAAGTAGTGGCCCTTGGTTAGCTCAGGTGATATAATGAACATCTCTTCATGGATGAGCCGAGCCACATCAAAATCACTATGGGATATGAAATAATTGATTGCGGACGCCTGTGGTAGATTAACATCTGTCGTGTTGCTGGATGGCAACAATCGACTGTTGACAATGGTGAGCCAACACTTAGCCTCCCAATTCAGACAGTGGGAGTTGAGAGTAATCCTGTGCTTGATCCCTAGGTGTTCTCCGTCCGGCACATAGATAGTATCGAGAAGAGTTCCACACAAGGCCCGTGTACCACTAAAAGTAAGATAAGGATCAAATTCACCCCTAAACATTGGCAGCCTGTATACCATGTGGATGGTGTCGAGGGATGCATTTACCGGGGTGTTGCGCACCGTCACAACCCCATTCTCATGTTCTGGCAAGTTCGCATAGAACTCCCTTACTAGTTAAACATTATCCTCATCCGGTACCTCGAAGAAGATGTCCAGCTGACACCACCTCAACTCATTAAACATATTGGGGAATTCCACCTCCAAATCCGTTCGATCAATGTGCACCTTAGGTTGCAACTTCTTAGCTTCTTTCTGGTTGTACCTATCCTCTGCGGATTTGGATACAAACCGAGTGCTATCGAACTGAGGTGCACTGGCTTAGCTCCTAGCTCGTGAGGAGCCTCCCGGTCCGCTAGTGGAGGGTCCGGTGTTTTGTCTCTTCCTGGAAGAACTCATTGTACCTGTCATACAACGAAACGCCTATTAGTGAGTGCGCAAAATATGTGATTATGGATGGTTACTCAGACTTCATCATAACCATGTCACAATAGCTCCTTATATCTCAATTGGGGCAATTTCCCAAACACCTTGTGAGAAGGGCACTATCCAAACACATATAGCCCTCATGGGTACGTCAAAGCTCCTCTCCAATCAAGTATACTACCACACCAACACACCCCACACTCACTTCATTCAATCAACCACCAATAAACACCGTTCCAAATATTAATTACACATCCCCTTCACCAATCATGGTCAAAAACGAAATTTAATATAAAAACAAAAAGAAACTACAAAAATCGACCAACAATTACAACAACATATCAACATAAAACTACATAAGCTACAACACAATACAACGCATGACCAGAGAAAAGAGAGGAGAGATAAGTACATACCTTAGTTGAGGAATGGGTGAGAGGAACGGCGGTGGGGGATGTTAGTATGAGTGAAGAAGAAGGGATTTTAGGGTTAGGGTTGTGAAGAGAGGGATATGAAGAATTAGAATGNTAAAACAATTTTTTTTAATAATACTTGGTAACCCCCGCGGTCGACCGCGGTGGGTTTAAAATCTTGAGGCATAAAGTTTACTCCTCACCGCGGTTTACCGCGGTCCACAGCGGTCATGGTGAGATGAATAATTTGAGGCAGAATGTTTGCCGTCCATTGCGGTTTACCGCTGTTCACCGCAGTCGCGGTGCTGGCGTTGTTTATTTAATTTTTTTATGAACACACTAACAACAACACTCGTGGGTTTCCTCCCATGCAACACCTGATTTAACGTCGCGGCATGATGCAAGCATTTGATCATCACTCCTCATTCGCGTACTAGGGCTCTTCCAAAGTGATTACCACTCTATCCCTTTTTTCTTCAGCCATTCCCAGGTAATGTTTCAACCTTTGCCCATTTACTGTGAACTTATTTGTCCCATCTGCTAATTCAATCTTGACAGCTCCACTTAAGAAGAATTGCACCACTCTGAAGGGTCCTGACCATCGGGACATTAACTTACCTGGGAAAAATCTCAATCTTGAGTTATATAACAACACTAGATCTCCGGGTTTGAAGTTTCGATCCAATATGTGCTTATCATGCATTAATTTCATCCTTTCTTTGTATAATCTAGCACTTTTAAAGGCCTGGAACCTGAATTCCTTGAGCTCATGTAACCCAGTGATTATGTTAGTACCTGTTGTCCCCATGTCTAAGTTTAACTGCCGTAATGCCCAAAGTTCTTTATGCTCTAGCTCAACTGGGAGGTGGCATGCCTTGCCAAACACCAACTTGTACTGTGACATACTAATTGGGGTTTTGAAGGCTCTGCGGTATGCCCACAATGCATCATCCAATTTCTTTGCCCAGTCAGTCCTTGTTGCATTCACTGTATTTGTGAGGACACTTTTTATCTCCCTATTGGACACTTCAACTTGCCCGCTCGATTGTAGGTGGTACGGGGTGGTGACTTTATGACGACCTCCATATTTTTCCAACAGCCGTGCGAATGCTCTATTGCTGAAATGGGTTCCGCCATCACTTACCAAAACGTGTGAAAATGTTCTTCTTTAGAAAGCCTAGTACCCCTTTAGCATCATTGGTCGGAAGAGCCACTGCTTCGACCCACTTGGTGACATAGTCAACTGCTACCAATATGTACTTGTTACCATACAAGCTGACGAATGGTGCCGTGAAGTCAATCCCATACAGGTCAAAAATCTCCATCTCTTGAATTGTGGTCATTGGCATCTCGTGTCTACGAGATATGTTTCCAGTTCTTTGGCATTCATTGCAGCTTTTAATCCAAGTATGGGCATCCTTGAACAGAGTAGGCTAGTACAAGACTGACTCCAACACCTTAGCTGTTGTCCGAATTCCTCCAAAGTGTCCACCATATGGTGAAGCATGGCAAGCCTGCAAAACAGAATGTTGATATTTCTCGGGGATACACCGCCGGATCATGTTATCTACACATATTTTAAACAATAGAAGTTCATCCCAATAATAATACCGACAATTACGAAAGAACTTTTTCTTCTGTATTGAGGAGAGTTCATAAGGTATAATACCATTTGCTAAATAATTAGCAATATCAGCATACCATGATGCCTCCTCCATTGTCATTGCCAGTAACTGTTCATCCGGGAATGTCTCTGTTATATCCTCAACCTCTACCTTCCTTTTAGCTCCTTCCAACCTTGAAAGGTGGTCAGCTACTTGGTTCTCTATCCCTTTTCGTTCACGTATTTCCAAATCGAATTCTTGTCACAGAAGAACCCAACTAATCAAGCGTGGCTTTGACTCCTTCTTTTCTATCAGGTACCTAATTGTTGCATGGTCAGTGTAACCAATAACTTTCGAGCCAATCAAGTATGACCTGAATTTGTTGAATGCAAAAACAACAGCCAACATTTCCTTTTCCGTCACGGTGTAATTGAGTTGTGCACGGCTTAGCGTTCTGCTTCCATAGTAAATCGGGTGCATTAGTTTATCCTTTCGCTGCCCCAAGACTGCTCCTATGGCATAGTCACTTGCGTCGCACATAATCTCAAATGGCTGCTCCCAGTTGGGTGCAACAATGATGGGTGTAGTCACCAATCACTTCTTCAGCTCCTCAAATGCCAACCTACAATCATTAGAAAACACAAAGGGGTGATCCTTTTCAAGGAGTTTGCATAATGGGTTAGCAATTTTGGAGAAAATCTTTTATAAATCGCCTGTAGAACCCGGCGTACCCAAGGAAACTTCTCACCGCCTTGACTGAAGTGGGCGGGGGAAGTTTTTCAATCACATCAACCTTAGCATGGTCGAACTCAATTCCTTTACTAGACACTCGATGCCCCAGGAATATCCCTTCTTGTACCATAAAATGGCACTTCTCCCAGTTCAACACTAAATTTGTCTCCACACATCTTTTAAGCACTCTTCTTAAGTTGTGAAGATAGTCCTTGAATGAATCTCCCACCACGGAGAAATCATCCTTAAAGACCTCCATAATATCCTCCACCATGTCTGTGAAAATGGCTAACATGCACCGTTGAAATGTCGTTGGTGCATTGCAAAGCCCAAAAGGCATTCTCTGAAAGGCGAAAATGCCATAAGGACAAGTGAAAGATGTTTTCTCTCTATCTTTGGGGCTATTGATATCTGATTATACCCTGAATATCCATCCAAGAAATAGAAGTGCGATCGCCTGGCTAGCCTGTCCAACATTTGGTCAATGAAAGGCAAGGGGAAGTGGTCCTTCCAGGTGGCTGTGTTCAATTTTTGGTAATCCATGCAAATCCACCATCCCATGACTGTACGAGTTGAGATCAACTCATTGTTCTCACTTTGCACAGTAGTCATTCCTCCCTTTTTCGGAACACATTGGACATGGATGACCCAATTGCTATCAGAGATAGGGAAGATGATTCCCGGCATCTAACCATTTGATCACTTCCTTCTTTACTACCTCTTTCATATTCGGGTTCAGCCTTCGTTGATGTCCTCTGGAAGGTTTGTGCCCTTCTTCCAAGAGAATCTTGTGCATACAGAAGGCTGGGCTGATACCCTTTATGTCTGCCATGGTCCAATGAATGACAGTTTTACTTTCCTGCAGTACGTGTAAGAGCTATTCTACCTGCGCAATTAGCAAACTGGATGATATAATAATAGGCAAAGTAGAATCAGGGCCTAAGAAAACGTACCTGAGGTGAGCTAGGAGCGGCTTCAACTCCAGCTTGTGTGGTTTCTCTACTGATGGTGTTGCTGGACGTGTAGCCCTTTTTTCTAACTCATGGGACTCGAACTGAGGTTCCCTTTTCCAGAATCCTTGGCCTTCAAGTGCCATGACCCACTTAGCTAACCCTTCACCATCTATCTCTTCTAAATTTGTCAGATATGCCTCCAATGGATCTTTAGTAGTCAGGGTCACATCATCTTCTTGCAGTATCACATCCACTGCCTCCACTAGAGAGCAATTAGTATATTCACTGGGTCTCCTCATAGATTGCTGAACATTGAATATGACTTCTTCATCGTTCAGTCTCATTTTTAATTCCCCAGTCTTACAATCGATTAGTGCTCTCCCAGTGGCTAAAAATGGCCTACCTAAAATGATAGGTATCTCCTCATCTACCTGACAGTCCAGAATAACAAAGTTTGCAGGGAACACAAACTTCCCTACTTGCACCAACACATCATCAAGAACCCTAGTAGGCCTTTTTACTGTGCGGTCAGCCAGCAGCAGCAACATCAAAGTCGGTCTAGCTCTGCCAATGCCCAGTTTGGTGTATACAGCCAGAGGCATCAAATTTATGATGGCTCCTAAATCACATAATGCCGCTGCAAAGGCATAACTCCCAATCGTGCATGGAATAGTGAAGCTACCTGGGTCTGACATCTTTTGAGCCATCGGTTTGGTCACTACTGTGCTGCAGGTCTGCGTTAGAGTCACTGTGGATAGGTCCTGAAAATCAAACTTCCATGACATTGGGTCTTTCATCATCTTCGCATAACCTGGCATCTCCCTCAAGGCATCCATCAAAGGAATATTCAACTGAATTTGACGCAGCACCTCCATGAATTTCTTGTATTGATCTTCCTTCTTTTGTTTTACCAGTCTTTGAGGGAATGGTGCAGGTATTACCCTTTGTGCACTATTTGTCGGCTTCTCTCTGTTAGGGTTCTGTGGCACAAGAGGCACCACCTGTTCTGCAGCTTGTTCATTTACCTTAGCCTAACCCTTTTCATATTGACCTGTTCACCCACCACTTCAGTCAGATTTGATGGTTCATCTACCTCTAGTGGAATTGGAGTGGCTGGCGTAGTCTCTTTGCTGGCTTGTGCAACCTCCTGCTCTTTGTCTAAATCTCTCCCATTCCGGAGACTTACTGCCATCAGCTGATTCGGGTTTTGCTCCTTGGGGTTAATATTTGTGTCCGCTGGCAATGTTCCCTGGGGGCGGTTGTTTAAAGCCATAGACAACTGCCCTAACTGAGTTTTAATGTTCTTCATAGCTGAATCATATACTGCCAACTTTTCTTGCATCTTACCATTTGTCCCAATGAGTTGCTGGAGCATCCCCCTGATCTCTACCATGTTTTTATCTTACTGCTGAGGAGGTGGCTGATATGTCAACTGTTGCTGGTTCTGCTGTGGGTAGCCCTGTTGTCTCTAGTGGTATGGCACCATTTGGCCTTGAACTTGCATGCCCCCAGGCTGAGGCATATTAGGTCTATATTGCTGATTTGGTGCCAGTCTCCACTGTTGTCCTCCTTGTCTCTGACCCCCAAAGTTGTTAACATAATTCATATCTTCCCTTGCCCCTTTATTTTCACCTTCTCCGCTCCATGAACACACATAAGACTGATTAACACAGGGTACACACAGTCCTTCATTTGTCGTGTCCACAATATGCACCTGTTTGTTACCCATCTCATCTATCTTCTTTGTCAAAATACTCATCTGAGTCATGAGTGTGGCCATGTTCTCTGCATGCGAATTATTTTGTTCAAGAGGAACTGAATGCACTATGAGTGCCAGTGTTGTACCTCTAGTCATCCACCCCCGGTGAATGTCTTACTCAAAAATGCACCTCCAGCTGAAGCATCCACATTGGCCTTTAGATTGTCAGCTAACCCCATGTAGAATCTCTAGCCAAGTATCTGGTCTGGAATGCCATGGTGAGGACACTTCGCCAGCATCCCTTTAAATCTTTCCCAAGTTTCTTGCAAGGTCTCAGTCGGCTGCTACTTGTACTACAATATATCATCAATCTGCCTTGCAGTCTTGTTTGGCGGGTAGAACCTATTCAGGAACTCCTTTACTAATTCCTACCAAGTGACAATGGAATTGATTGGGAGCGAATTCAGCCAAGTCTGAGCTTCCCCAGTCACAGAGAACGGGAATAGTAATAGTTTGATAGCTTCTGGGGTCATATTTGGCTGCCATTGAGTTACACAAATTGACAGAAAAGTTTTCAAATGTTGCTGAGGGTCTTCAATGTGTGACCCAGAGAACAATCCTTTATTCTGTAGCAGATGCATCATGTTGTTGGTGATCTGAAATGTCTCCGCTTGCGGGCACAACTATGGCACTTGCCAGGTTGTCAGCTGTGGGTTGAGCCCAATCATAATGTGTAGCTTCTGGAAGAAGAGGTTCTACCACTCTGACATTTGGGTCAGCTGGCTCATCCCTGATGTTTCTGTTGACCTTCTCTACGTCACCCATGTCAATTTGAAGCTGGTGTGGTTGTTGTGATTGTTGGATCCTCTTGTTGGCACAGTTCAATGCCCTGAATGTTTTCTCGGGGTCTGAAAGTCCTTCAAGAAGTTCTCCAGTCCTCGAAGAATTTCTAGGAATACACCTGAATTCCACAAGAGTTCAAACGTTAGAATTTCAATGAAAATTGTTTAACACCTTTGGAAATTGATTTGAACTAATAATTTTAACACTACTTCTAAGTTATAATAAATTACACCGTTAGTTCCCTGGTAACGACGCCAAAATTTGACAATGCCCAACTATGACTTTTAAAGTACAAAGCGGTTGCTACAAATAAAATCCGGTTTTATGTCCGGGATCGAATCCTTAGGGAACTAACCTATCTATTACACTCTTCGGCAATGTTATTATCAACTCAATCAATCTCTAGATGCAAGATTTTTGATCAATAAAGATTGGGTTTTTGTTTAACTACTTCAACTACTATTAAAAACAACAGTAAGCTAAAACAAAGATAATTCAATGGTAAAAAGGTCTAGGGCAGTGATTTCCCCAATTGCTAGCTTAGGTCTTGACTCTTCCGCTATAATCTCGCCGTAATACTCTATGAAGATTAAGAGTTATGGGTTATCGTAATTATTTCTCGATCAACTACAATAATTTACTAGAGAATTCTCGCGAACTACTCTAGCAGACAAGAGTTATGCAACTCTAAATTATCCCACCAAAGTTTTATTATCTCTAAACCCACTTTTAAGTTCAAGTAATGAATCTCGTCAATTACCCAAAAGTGGTGTTGTTCAACAGCTATCCAACCTAATATTCTTTGTCAAGCAATATAAGGTAATTCGACATGATTAATCAAGGGCCCATTCAATTAATAACCATACAAAACGTAGTTGAACAATCATATCATAAATCCAGCTCGATTATAACAACTTGAGTCAAAACTTCAACCAACAATTGGTTCCACCAACCCTAGATATGTATTTAGCTACTCATAACAAAATAAGAGAAGACTACTAAATTGTTCATAATGTGAAATTGCAAGAATTGAAAGGAGATAGAAAAACTCTAATGTTTGGTTGATCTTCTCACTCTTGTTCTTGCCTCCAAAAGTAGTCTAAAATCAGCTTAGCACCATCTTGGGCGAGTTTCTAAAGCATATAAGGGTTTTACAAAAGTTTCCCCGATTTTACACTTTGGTCCTCAAACTTTCTAGCAGCGTGAACAGTGCACCGTGGTCGCGGCCAACCGCGGTCGACCGCGGTGAATACTAACCTTTTTTCCTTACGTTGTTAATCTACCGCGGTGCCACCGCGATCGCGGTGGCCTTCTTTCCCAGGCCATTTATGCTTCTTTGTGTTTGGGTACTTCTCGAGTGGGTGTTTTTTTTTCAAATTATCGCATCCACAACACTCCATGTTGCTTCCTCTCATATAATATTCCCTGCTAAATAAAAGAACACTTTTAGAGCATTTTGTTGGCAATTTATCTATAAAACAATAACAAATTATGGTCATATTAAGGTGTAAATATCAACTATATAGTCTACTATCACACTTCATACCTGATTTTCAGGGTGACTCCATCCCATATAAGAATGAAGCATAATATATGTGGACATTAAAGATTATTGTCAAAAAAGATACCATCAAGCCGGAGTGATATCATGTGGGTCACTCATGCTTTTACCCTTCGTGCTTGGAGGACAACATAGCCGGGATCTTCGAGCCAAGGGTTGGTCCAGGAAACAGGATTATAGACGAGGTTGCTGAAGCAGAGGTGAAGTATAACAAGCTGCACAAATGAGTTCGTGAGTTTAAAGCTGAGCATATGGAGCAGCATAAGGCCGACATGAAGATGATCAATGAATGGAAAGAGAGGGCTACTAAATCTAACGAAAGGCTGGAATATATGGAGTATAGTCTAATGGACATGGAAGGGAAGATGAGAAAAAGGGTCACCGACTACCAAAACGCTGAGGAAAATGAAGGGGAACATTTGGAAAGAGCATCCAGTCCGGAGAGGGTCCTTCTGGGACCAAGTAGATTAGGTTTACTTGTTTTTATTTTAAATGTTACAAGGCCAAGTGCCATTATTAACATTATCTTATTTCGTGTCATTTTGGGGCGTTTATTTTTACATTAATGAAATGAGGCAATTGTTAGCACTGAATTTCTCCAAATCTATTTGTCTCTAGGCCTACCTCAGGCATAACAAGGCTCCCAAATTAGGATGCAAATTTACATTCCCGCAATATGTGTTTAAATAATGCAAACATTTCAGAATCCTTAGTGACGGGTTTACCTTTTTGTTTTTCTTTATTCTTTGTTATTCCTATCCACTAAGGTTGGTTCGCACATACTGGCATCATCAGCATATCACACCAGATCTATAGGCCTTCCACCAGATCTCTAAGTAATACGAGAAGCACATGGAAGGGTAAAATGGACGAATTAAGTGGTATTCGATTGGAAAATACTAAGAATGCAGAAACTTCAGATGGCCGGAGTACTCCGGCACCAAATGATTTGGTTTTACGGATGGAACAAAAGATACTAGAACTAGAGGGAGAATTTGAGCAGGTCCGTAACTTTGCAAACCTATCCCTCACCCTGAATGTCCCCGATATCAACCTATAAAACGCCAAAAACCCAGCAGCTCCACAAAACATACCAAACCAGCATCCACAAAACCCTCCCACGCCACATCAATACTCAACTCCACCTCAAAATCTCAATCCCTTACCGATACCAACTCTTCCACAGCACCACCATCAACCAATCCAGTACCCACCAACTACTACTTATCATATTCCCCAAAACACAACACAACCCATTCCCGATCCTCTAAATTGAACCAATGATCACCACTACACCCAAGTCCCTGGCACTCACCAAAACAACCCTATATATGTGGAAATTGTACCTCACTCTACCCAATTAATCTCCTATACACCAAAATCCACTAAGAAGGACCTGTTCATCAAGAACATGGCTGAGGAACTCAAGAAATTAACAAGTCGAGTTCAAGGTGTCGAAGGAGGCAAAGGGATAGAAGGTTTAAATTATGAGGATCTATACATACAGCCAGTTGTAGAACTGCCAAGGGGTTACAAACCTCCCATGTTTGAGATGTTTGACGGCACAGGTAATCTTATGGTTCATCTAAGAACCTATTGTGACAAGCTTGTCAGGGTCGGAAAGGATGAAAAGATCTGGATGAAGCTTTTCATGAGGAGTCTAGCGAGAGATGCTTTGTCCTGATACATCAGCCAGAATCCTAAGAAATGGTCCAACTAGGTGACTACGACATCTGATTTCATGGACCGATTCAGGTTCAACAGAGAAAATGCACCGAACGTTTTCTACATTCAGAACCTCAGAAAGAATCCCACCGAGACTTTCCGCGAGTATGCTACTCGATAGAGGTCGGAAGCGGCCGAGGTCAGGACAGAATTGGACGAGGAATAGATGAACAAGCTCTTCGTCAGAGCACATGATCCACAATACTATATATGGTTGATGGTTATTAAAAACCATAAATTCTTTGATATCATCAAACTTGGTGAAAAGATCGAAGAGGGCATCAAAAGCGGGATGGTAACAAACTTTGAGGCACTACAGACCACAAACAAAGCATTGCAATCAGGAAGCTTATCAAAGAAGAAAGATGTGGGGGCATAATGGTGGCTCAAGGCCCAAAATCTCCGCTAATATACCAAACACCTCCACTCACATACCAAGCACCTCTGCCCACATACCAAACACCTCCACCTACATATCAACTCTCACCTCCCAGATATTCCAAACCAGCCAATATCTATCACAACTATAATTCCCAACCATCTCATTTCCAGTCACCTCTAACTC